GCAAGGGGTCTTAACTTTTCCTCTGTGACCTAGAGGCCTCTCTCTGCCATGTCTCTGTGTTAGAATCTTTGGAGTCATTAAAAAGTTCTGGTGCCCAGGCCCCTGCCACACCAATGAAATTGGCATTTCTAGGTCAGGTGGGTCTGGGGACTTATTGGTCCAACTTTCCCAGGTGCCTCTATAGAGCAGTGGTGGGTGAAGCCCTCACCCACCCCCCATAGCCCAGTCCCATTTGCACTGAGACCCTGAGGATAAAGGCCCCATCTTGACTCACAGCCCCGGGTGCCCGTGCTCTGAACACTTTGTGGAATTGACTCCTTCAACCCCTACCCCTGCTCTGTGAGAACAGTGTTGTCACCGGTGAGGACATGAGGCCCACTGTGGTGTAGTGGCTCATCTGAGGTCACAGGCCAAGAGGTGGCAGAGCTGGAGTGTGGCCTGGGCGGTCAGGCTCTGTCCTGTTCTCCTAACTGTGGCATCACAGATGCTCATACTAACCCTGACACCACCATCCTGGGCTCTATGCATGTCCCCTCCAGTCCTCACAGTCCCTGAAGCATGGCCATGACCATCACCACCTCACAGATGGAGAAACTGAGGACTCAAGGGAAGCCAAGACCTGCCCAAGATCACACAACCTTCATGACAACCCCATCACTTCCTGAGGTCTCTTCTCTCCCCAGGCTCACTGTGTCCCCCTGACATCCTAGAGGGTTTGGTACAATTGTCCACATTCTACATTTGGGGGAAACTGAGGCTCAAGAAAGGGAACTGGATTGCCCAAGATCATGCTGTCCTGAAATAACTACAATGTGCTAGGTGATTTACAGAAAGGCCCTCAAATCCCTCCCACTCTCTTAAAGGAGTCCATGGTTGTCGCCATTTCACAGATGAGAAAACTGAGGCTGAGAGAAATGACCACATTGTCTCCTTGTCCCCCCTGTGTCCTAGTGGGGATTCCTGCGTGCCCCTAAGCTTTCATGTCCGTCACCAGAGCAAGAGCCCCGACACTGACACCCCTTCCCTTCTCCCTCTGAGATCCCTGACTTGAAGTACCTTAAGGCCCGGTTACCCGACAGCCAGAGAGGGATGATGGGGCCCCTGACACCTGAGGGGAGACTGCAAACTATCACTCACATGGACCCCTCATCCCCTCGTCCTTAGTGCCCATGAGTGGAGCGTGGGTTGGGAGAGGGATTCCAAGCCAGCTCCTTGGTGCTGCTCTGAGGGAGGGGGTTCCCATGTGTCACGTGGTGTCTGCAGACGTTTCTCACCAGCTGTGTAAAGCAGCCCTGCCTGTCTTCACAGGACTGTTTCTGATTCCTCTGGTTTGGGCGCTTATTACTGTAGAACTGACAGCACAGGACCTTAGAAGGAGGAGGGTGGAGCACGTGTCCCCACTGTGACCAGCACGGCTGGTGCTGCAGGGACAGGGACTGTGCATCAGGATATGGGGTTGAAACCTCAGTTCCCTTCCCAGCTCTCAGATCAGGTCCCTTCTCTGAGCCTCAGTGTCCCCATCTATAAAGGGGCAGGACACGGCGCCTCCCTGACAGCACTGGTTACTGGAGAAAGTGGCACGATAAGGAGGTAGCACCTGGCACCACTGCTGCCCCTGCTCTGCCCTCCTCCCTCCTGTCCCACCAGGGCATCATTTAGGGCAAGGGCAAGGCCAAGGGGAGTGAGACTCTGCCAGGAGCCAGCAGACCTGAGTCATGCCTGAGCTACTTCTTGGCTGGGATGGCCTGGGCATGGATGTGCCATTTGGGGACTTTAATGTTTCCGACTGTAAAATCTGCAAGGTCAGGAGAAAGCCACCTTCCCAGCCTATGTCCAGGGGTTTGTGGGGAACCTGAATGCCATATCATCTAGGATAAAATATTTGCAATAGCCACATAAATTAAAACACTCATGCCCTCTGCCTGGTAATGCCATTTCCAGCGAGCATCTCCCACCTGTGCACTGCAGGCTGGTGCCTGTAGCAGCCCATCCATGCAGAATGGCCTTAGTAGACCAAAGACGGAGACAATGTGAATGTCCATTTACAGAAGACTGTAAGTAAGTGGTGTTACTTCCATGCGATGGAGTATTCTGTAGCTGTTAGACAATGGGGCCACTTTCTATGTCCTGATTTAGAACCTCAATATTGAGTGATATGACTGAAGATTGGGTGTGGTTCTCATCACCAGTAGGCCCCAGAGTGGGCATGGGGGGAAGATTTGAACCTTTGGGACTCTGATGAGAAGGAGAAGTGGCAGGTCCCTGCTCAATGGTTCTGCTCCAGAACTTCTATCCAGCACCGACAATGCACCGGTTCCTCCGTGGAGAGTGACTGATCCAGGGCTGGGGAGGAGCTGCCTGCAATCAGATCTCAGCTCTGGTCCCAGTACTGTCACTACTTAGCCATGTGACTACGGGCAAGGGCCACGTCATCTCTTGGCCTCAGTTTCCCCATTTGTACAGGGGTTTGTTTTAGTGGACTGAAGGTCCTTCCTGTGCTAATATCCAAGATTCAGGGGACAGAAAAAGGATTCTGGGCCTTGGGCAGGAATCCCAAAATGACCATCTTTGCCACTTCCCCTAGGGTACCACTAAATCACCCTCCTCGGGGACCTCTTCCCTGGAGTGAGAGACATTCAGAGATGACCCAGCTCTGCTCAGAGTTTTCTGTGACTGTGTGAATAAGTTTCTGAATCACATAAGGGTTTCCTGAGTAGAACCCCAGCAAATGTCAAACTTCTTGGCATCTCCTCCAACCAGGGCCATCAGGCTTTTCTTTGTTTTGTTTTGTTTTTTTCTTTTATGAGACAGAGACTCACTCTGTCACCCTGGGTAGAGGGCTGTGTGTCATAGCGCACAGCAAACTCAAACTCTTGGGCTCAAGAGATCATCTCACCTCAGCCTACTGAGTAGCTGGTACTACAGGTGCCCACCACAACGGCTAGTTTTTCTAGTTTAGTAGACATGGGGTCTGTCTCTTACTCAGGCTGGTCTCAAACTCCAAGTTCAAGCAATCCACCCTGCTCAGCTTCCCAGAGAGCTACAATTACAGATGTCAGGCACAGTGCCCAGCCAGAGCCATCAGATTAAACAGGGAATCTGTGCCTCTTAAGAATCTTCCCAGAGTGACATTTCTAAAGACAAAAATGCTCCCTCCCTGGCCACACCCCAGCTCTGCCACCTCTTGGCCTGTGGCCTCCCTGCTCCCTGCCTTCTAGAGATGTATCATCCTTGGAAGGGAGAAGAACTTGAGCTTCCTGGGGGCTGAGCACTGCCTGTGTGTTCCTGGCTGTTTCCACACAACCCCAGTGGAGCCAGCACACAGTAGGTTCTCAGTGGGTGCCTGCTACATGAAGGGGAGACTCGGCCTCCCTGAGGGGAAAGTGCTCTCTGGGGCAGTAGGTGAGGTGTGGCCTGTGCCTTGGATGCCACTCAATCTGTCACTTCCCTGTTCCCCAGAACCAAAGGGCAGGCCAGTCTGGGAAAGGCAAGGTCTGGAGAGCCAGGCCGGTGGGGCGTGCAGACTTTCCTGCAATTTACTAGCTGTGGAGCCTTGAAGAAGCAGGATGATGTCTACAGGCCTCAGCGTCCCCAATCTGTACAGGGGGTGACATCAGATCATGAAACTGAGAACCCTCCATTCTGATTGTCGCTCAGACTGGAGGGCATTATTATTGACTCATTTTAAATTTTATTTCTCTATTTATTCATTTATCTGTCACCCTGGTATAGTGCTATGGCATCATCATAGCTCACAGCAACCTCAAACTCTTGAGCTCAACTAATCCTCCTGCCTCAGCCTCAGGAGTACCTGGGACTACAGGCACTCGCCACAATGCCTGGCTAGTTTTTCTATTTTTAGTAGAGATGAGGTCTGGTTCTTGCTCAGGCTGGTATCCAACTCCTGAGCTAGGGATCTTGCCACCGTGGCCTCCTAGAGTGCTAGGATTATAGGCATGAGCTACTGCTCCCTGCCACTGCTGACTCATTGTCACACGCCAGGGGACAGAAGAGGCCCCCACTGTACTCACCACTCACAGACACCTCGGTGCCTGGTCCAGACTTAAACTCCACGTTTTCAGGAGTTGCTCTCCGGAACTTCACACAGTAGTAGGTGCCGGCGTCTGCTGGGGTGATGTTACTGATACGGATGGAAAAGTCCAGGTTGTCTCTCTTTGTAACATCTGAGATATTTGTTACCCGGGGGGAGTGGACTTTTTGACTGTAGATCAATTCTCTATCTCGCCCAGTCCCCTTGAACCAATTGATGGGCCCCACGGGGACTGGGGAGGTCACGGTGCAGCGCAGAATGGCCGTTTCTCCTGCGGCGACTGACATTGACCTGTCAGGCTGAATCACCTGCAGCTCCTCTCCTCCCACCCCTGGAGGGAAACACAGAGCAGTCGTTTATCCACCTATGTGACTCTGCACGTGTTCTCAAGTGTCATTAACATCATTTGCTTTCTGCGTGCACACCTGGAGCAGGCCTTGAGCTCAGTACACAGCATGGACTATCTCAGTTAATCCTGTGACATGAGAGGTTGTTACAGTGTCCTCATTTGAAATGAGAGGTTATGCTTCATGGTAGAGTGTGGTTTGAGCACCTAGGGAGCTCCTCAGCCTTCTCCCTCTCTGGAGATATGACATTTCACCCAATATTTGTGCTTTTCCATTTTCTAGCCACATGGGGAATTTAGAACTTTCTGGACCTCTGCATTGGCCATGAGATTCCTTTGTCCCAGGGGTATCTAACCGTTTGGATTCTCTGTGTAACACTGGAAGAAAAGGAGTTATCTTAGGCAACACATTAAATACACAAACACTACAGAAAGCTGATGATTAGAAAAAAAGTCCATGCATAATTTTCATGGTATTTGCCACCGCAGATAAGCAAAAAGTCCTCACATAATCCACATGCAGTCTGCGGGCCATAGGTTGGATACCCCTGCATGTTGTGAGCAGACGTGATAGGTTTAGTCTGTGAGCTATGCCTGTAACTGCAAGACCCTCTATGGATCAACTTCTCCCTTCAGCAGAGATCCACAAAGCCTTGATAAACTTGATTCCCAAGAGAGAATGCAGACCGCCCAACACACAATGGATATGTGGCTTCCATAAGGACTACAACATTGTATTAACCCCCTGGAATTTTGTCTCCATAGAATAATCATGTTATATTAGTGTTCCCAAAGCTACTGTGACAAATTATAATGAACCTAATGGCTTACAAGAGACATTTATTATTTTATAGTTCTGAAGGGCAAAAGTTCAAAATTGGTCTTACTATGATACAATCAAGAAAAAAGAGTAGAAAAACATCAAACACAGAGAAAGAGAGAATAAAACTGATTACCTGAAGTAGGATTGGGAAAGAAGATAGAGACATGTAAGCCCAAAGATGCAAAGTTGCAGATAGGTAGGATGAAGAAGTCCAGAAAGTTCTATGTACAACATGAGGACTACAGTTAATAATAATAATATAGTGTGGTACTCACTGTTTTTGCTTATAGATTAGATTTTAAGTGTTCTTGACATGCACACACAAAAAGGTAATTATAGGAGTTACTGAATATGCTTCTTTGCTTGTTTATAGTAACCATCTCATTATATATCTATATATATATCAAAATATCCTATTTTACATCTTAAATGTATAAATAAAAAAAGTGGCATCAGTAGAGCTCCATGTCTTCTGGAGACTCTGCTCCTTATCTTTTCACTTCCTAAAGGGTTTCCACATTTCTTTTCACAGTTCCATCTTCTGGTAACTCCTACCTGTTGCTTCCATGCTCACAAGTCCTAACTCTTACCTTCCGGCCCCCTTATAAGGGCCCTTGTAATGTACTGGGTCTACCCTGACAAACCTGTCAAACAAATGTCTTAAATATGGTCAAAGAGCTAAAGGGAAACAAGAACAAGGACCTAAAGGAAATCAGGAAAAAGAAGTATTATCAAAATGAGAACATCAGCAAAGAGGTAAACATTGTACCGGAGAACCGACCAGAAATTTAGGAGCCAAAAAGCAGAATAATGTAAAATTCACTAGTTGAGTTCCGTAACAGATTTGAGTAGGCAGAAGAAAGAATCAGAAAGCTTGACTATGGACCTGTCAAAATGATGATTCAGCTGGGTAGAAAGAGAAAAAACAATAGAGAAAAGAGATGGAATCTGGACTTGTGGGATGTCTGCGAGTTGATGGATGTGCATCTTATGAGAACAGCACAAGAAGAAGAGAGGCAGAGAGAAAGAAGCAGAAGATGATTTGAAGAAATAATATCCTAAATCTTTCCACAGCTGATAAAATACGTGAATCTATGAAGCTGAGAGGCTGAACAAACCCTAAGTAAAATTTACTCAAAGAAACCCACATGAGACACATAATATTCCAACTATTGAAGCTCAAATGAAAGAGAGAATCTTGAAAGCAGCAAGAGAGAAGGGAATCCTCACGTGAAACAGTTCCTAAGATTATCAGTTGAGTTCTTATCAGAAGTACTGCAGGCCGGAAGGTAGGGATGACATATTTAATGTCCTAAAAGAAAACAAGACTGTCAACTAAGAATTCTATACTGGTAAAACTGCCCTTCAGAAATGTGGAATAAATTAAGATATTCTGTGACAAACAAAATCTGTGAGAGCTCATTCCTACTAACCCTGACCTAGAGGAACACTAAAGAGCATCCTTTAGGTTGAAGGAAAAGAAAGCTGCATAGTAACTCAAAGTTGTAAGGAGAAGGAAAGATTTTTGTCTATCACGTAAAATATGAAAACTTCATAATTTCCTGATGCCCTAACATCTCACAACATCCCATAAATGGGCTGTGAGCACTCTGCCTGCCCAGGTGCACCAGTGTGTTAAGGCTGGTTCCTATTATCAGTTTAGTTCCTTAACTTACCCTCCCTCATGACCCAGTGGTATTCAAATACACCAGTGAGATCCCCTCATGGCTTTCACTTGTGTCCTTCACCTTGACTCACAGTACAGGACTTGCCCAGATTCCACCCTCTCTCATTCTTCACCTACTGAGTAGAGTCTATCTGGGAGCTCTTCCTATGCGGCTCCCTGGGTGGCATGTCATGCCTCCGTCCCTAACACCTCTGAGTAAACTCAATCCTTTAGTTTTTTTATACCTATATACATGTGATTTCTCTAGCCATGTTGGAATGATCTTCAAAAGACCCCATCAGAGGGACTCACTCTGCCATGTATAACACAACCAGCAACAAGGATGTGACTGTTTAAAATGAGGTGGTAACTTACCAGGAGCTGCCCTTTCACAGCTCATGGCTCACTAATTTCTGTCCTGATTAACACTCACCATTTGGAGGGATTTTTACCCTGCTGGCCTTTGTGTGCCCTGCTTTGTGGTCCTGCCAAGACTCTCCATCCTGAAGCTGGGTATTTTATTTTTAAAAGGTTTCTTTAGCTTATGGTCCTGCTGGCTGGTGGGTTCTAGATTGTGGGTCTGGTCAGGGCCTTAGGCTGCTTCTGCTCAAGTCAGAAGGTGCTTGGTGCCTATAGCTCAGCAGCTAGGGCACCAGCCACATATACCAGAGCTGGCAGGTTCCAACCCAGCCTCTACCTGCCAAACAACAATGATAGCTACAACCAAAAAATGGCTGGGCATTGTGGCAGGCACCTGTAGTCTCAGCTACTTGGGAGGCTGAGGCAAGAGAATCACTTAAGCAAAAGAGTTTGAGATCGCTGTGAGCTGTGATGCCATGGCACTCTTCCAAGGGTGACAAAGTGAGACTCCCTCTCAAAAAAAAAAAAAAAAAAAAGAAAAGAAAGAGGAAGAAAGTGAGGGGAGCTGGCATGCGCAGAGATCCCAAAGCAAGAGAGGGAGTGTAGGGGGGTGCTATGCTCTTTTTAACAAACCAGTTCTTGCAGGAAGCACTAGAGTGAGAACAAACTAACCTCTGGTGGGGAGCGGCATTAATCTATTTATGAGGAATCCATGTTCGAGACAGATAACAGATGTACGCTAATAGGCTGAAAGCCAGGGAATAGGCCAATGAACATCCATGAACATCCATGAACATCTAGCACTTAATCCACAACAGCAGGAAACTTGAGGTTTAGGTCTTTTCCAGGCTTGGAGCATAGGGAGAAGCAACCCAAGGTGTCCCATTGTCCCACCTCGCCTCCTTATTAGCATGGTAAAAGTCACCCCCTCCAGCGCTATAACAGTTTACAATTGCCATGGCAACCCCTGAAGTGACTCTGTAGGTTAGAAATGTGGAGGACCCTAAGTTCTAAGAAATCCCTGCCTCTGTCTAGGACAAATGAAGAATATTCTTCCCACTTCTTAGCATATCATTTACTATAAACACAAAACAGAGATGAGTTAAAACTCCAGCACCTTCTCTTCTCTCGGAGACAGACTTGTTCCTTTTCCCAGAACATATTCTCACTGTATTTTTGTTTTGCAAAGCTTCCTCTTGCTTGTGCAAAACGGCTTTGTGTCTGTCATCATTCCGTCCCCGTGTGTCACTCGCCCTGCTTGTGATTCTTCCAAGCAAAGAACAAAGAACCAGGACAGCTCTTTCTTAAAATTGAACTTGTCATCCACCCCCATGACCCAAGCACCTCCTACTAGACCCCACATCCAACACTGGGGATCATGTTTTGGCATGAGATTTAGAGGGGACAAACATCCAAACTATAGTACCAGGAATAATTATAGCCAAGGAGATTCTACACTGAAACTATAAAACATTAATGAAAGAAAGTGAACAGGCCACAGATCAATGGTAAGCTGTGTTTATGGACTGGAAGATTTAGCATTGTAGAAACGTCTAAAGTAGTCAAAGCAATTTACAGATTCAATGCAATTCCTAGCAGAATATCAAGGACATTTCACAGAAATAGAAAAAAAAAATCCTGGAATTCATATGTAACCACAAAAGACCCCATAACACCAAGGAAATTTTGAACAAGGAATAAAGCTAGTAGCAATCACTCTTCTTCACACTGACTTCAAAATATACTAAAAAGCTATATTAATGAAATATATACAGCATTTGTCAATTAAAAAGTAAAATAAATTTGTTTCTGTTTAAAATTATTTAAAATAAAAATGAAAGGGTGAAAACATTAATTCAAAACCCTGTGTGTGTACACTAACAATCTCTCATACACATATATAAATATACAATCACAAATATATCTAAAAGTATGGCTTAGCCTGCTAGCATACAAAGTTGTTCTGAGAATTAAATAAAATAGTAGGTTAGGCACAGTGGCTCACACTTGTAATCCCAGCACTCTGAGAGGCTGGGGTGGGTGGATTGCTTGAACTCAGGAGTTTGAGACCTGAGCAAGAGTGAGATCCAATCTCTACTCAAAATAGAAAAACTAGCTGGGTGTAGTGGCAAGCACCTGTAGTCTCTATTACTCAGGAGGCTGAGGCAAGAGGACTGCTTGAGCCCAAGAGTTTGACATTTCTGTGAGCTGTGACACCACAGCACTCTACCCAGCACAACTGAATGAGACTCTGTCTCATATACATATATATACACACACACACATACGTGTGTATATATATATTTATGTATGTATACATATATATGTAAAATAAAATAAATTTGCAATACATGTTAAAAGCTTAGTAAACAATTTGGCACATAAACTAAATTCAAATTCCCACATCTTCAGGGAAACACAGGACCCCTGAACTTGAGTAGGCACCATTTCAGACTTCCCTTCCTCAGGACAGTGAACACAGAGGGCTGGGCTTGGTGACAACCTCATGGGGCTGCCTCTCAGCTCACTCTGTGATCTTGGACCTGTTGCCTCATCTCTGGAGCCTTGAGAAGCTCTGTATTTGAATAACAATTCTTTTGTGAGTATTTCATCAACTGAAATATTATTAAAATGTAAATATTGTGTGGTGGTGGTAGTTTGAAGTATCTGGTTTGGCAACTCTGGTAGCCAGCTTTAGGTGATGAATCACACAGAAAGTATTCAGACCCCTGATTTATGTTCTCAGATAATGCCCTGTCCTTGGCTTTCCTTGGTAGACCTAATTGCATATGAATCTTCACCTAGGGCTTCTGGAATCTCCAGACTGGGGGTACTGGATATTCCAGCCCAAAGCAATGCTCACCTGGGAGTCCCAGTAGTAGAATCAGCAGCAGCAAAGGATGAGGAGGGTGGGGCCGGGAGGCAGGGAGGGGCATCCTGGAGGGTTCTGTTCAGATATCTGTGCTGGGAGATCTCGGGCTCTCCACTGTGGAGGGAAGAGGAGCTTCACCTCTCTTGACACAAGAGGAAGTGGCTGTGTTGGTGAAACAGAAACTGGCTTCTAGATTGTGAAATAGAATCAAGAACAGCAGGCAGCTACAAGGCTATAGTGACTCATCTTACATCTTCAGAGACTCCAATAGACTTAGAGAAATAATCTCTCCTCTCTGCTGGGGTTTGTGCTCTGTCCACATGGCCCCTCACCCCATCTTTAAGTCTACATGGTGATTTTTTCATTTGGGAGTCTCAGGCTAAGAAGGATCTGTGCTGGTGAGTTATGCCCCAAATTTTGACTCCTCGGACCCCAGAATGAGCTTGTGGGCTCATTCTGCACAGCCTCCACCAAGAGCTTCTCAGTGGGAGGCAGGTGGGTTCACCAGACATTGTAAACCTTGGGAAAAAAGCAGGTCTGCTCCTGAAATGATACCTTATTCCAACTGTTTATTGATATAACTGGCAAAACTTAGCTCACATTCAATCTACATTGCACCTTAGCAAGTTTATATGCCTATACCCAAAAAAAAGGAATTTTTTCCTGACTCTTCCAGGAGAGCAAGTGGGTTCAGGTTAATAAGGATCTGCACTGGGGGTAGGGGTGGGAATTATGAGTTATGGAAGGGAGCATGGCAATGAGAGGGCAGGACCCTTGGACAGTCACATCCATTTCCATACTCTTTGTTCTGCACATAGACCAACTAGTCCATTCGCTGTTATATTCAGATGGGAACTGGGACAGAGGAAAAATGGATCCCCCAACAAAAAGGGTGTGCTGTGGAGCTGGACAAGTCAACTCCTAGGCTTAGCATTGTTCTCTAAACTCAGAATAACAAGTCATTGCCTGCAGTGGTTTAGTGGAGACTAAAGGAGAAAATGGTTGTAACATGCTTGAAAACCAAGACATCATTATTAATCCTCCTGGTGCAAGGTGAAGAGATAAAACTCAAATATCACTTTTGAAAGGTTCCTTGGAGCAAGGAGCCAGGTGCTCACCAGTCGCTTTCTCACACCTTCCTGGACCTCCTAAGATGCAGCTTCTATGGTTTCCTCGGACTACCCCTGCCACCAGGAGCCAAAATGTTCTCTCTGTGATTCTCTGCATTCTGTTTCTTGTTAATCCATACATGACTTCCTTCTCTCCAGATTTCCAGCTGTATGTTTTTCAGTAAGACCCTTGGTTTCTCTGAGCCTTTCTTTGATTATGTGAATGGAGGTTATAACATGCACCCTGTAGAGATGTGGCAGGAACAATATAAAATAAACCATGCAAAATACTTGACCTATAATTAAATATAACCCCCCAAATTGTAGTTATGTAATTATTATTTGTGTACAGGAAGACCTTACTGCTATATTTGGGTAAAGTTACACTTTAGAAATAAAACATTTTTATGGAGAAATGATTTCTCCAGCATCTATGACTATCACAGGACTGTCTGGAAACCTCTCTGTCACATGCTGGATTTTAGGTCCTTCATCTGTCATGAGTAACTCTTGAATGAAATTATAAAATTCATCATCTTTACATCCAAATTTCTATTTAAATGTGGCAGGTGTGTACCTCATGAAATTGTTCCCACTTTCCCACATCCACAGATATAGAAATGAAAAATGATAAGATTATATTAATGAATGTCCACAAAAAAATGAGTCCTTTTATGATATGAAGGAATAGTAGCAGCTATCACTTACTGAAGTTGTACTATGCTCCAGAGACTGCATCAAATATTTTATATCGATTACTTCATTAAGTCATCTCTCCAACCCCATGAGGTATTCTCTACCCTTGACCTTATTTTATAGATGAAGACACCTGAGGCAGTTTGAGAATAATGGATTTGTTCACAGTCACCCAGGTTTTACAATTAGAACATAGGCTTCCACAACCCATAGCCTTCACTTTGAACTGTTGCACTAGGACACCTCTCATGGGAAGGGAGAGACATGTCTCCAGAAGAAAGCAGAGAAGAATCCATAGCCTCTATTAAGATCAGCCACACATCAGTGTTAAGGCAGGGACCATTCTCCACACAGCCCTGACAACCCACAATCTCTTGGAGCATTATTACTGAAAAGAAGGCAGTACAAGCAGAAATCACCGAAGAGTTGGGAAACAGCAACACCATGAGAGATGGACAAAAAACTCCAGAACAACAATAATTAAAAAAAAAAAAACAGCTATCAAAAAACTTCATATCTGAGGAAACAAGAAAAAATACATAATATGGAAAGGTCTTTAAAATATTCAATAACCTTATCTTTATAAACTTATATTTATAACAAAAGGGAAGTAAATCCATGAAACAATAACAGGCATTTGTGAAACAAGAATAGGCAGGCAGGAAATAAGAACATCTATATAGTAAAAAATAACAAATCAGAGATTTGGGAAATACAAATATAATCAATGCTGAAATTTTAGGAAAAACTAAGAAGTTAACTAGGACTACACATAATCAAAGAATGAATTCATGAGCTGGGTCATCATGTGGGGATCATCTCCCAGAACATTGTATACTGAGACACAACCAAACCAAAGTGCATAAATGGGTATACATATAGAAATGTACACCACAAAACATTTCCAAAAAGTTATTCTGGCTATATTAATACCTGGAAAATATAATTTCAGATAGAAAGCAGAAATGAATGAAAGAGGAATATTTTCTTTCATAAAATGAACAATTAACCTAAAACATATGAGCCATAAACTTATATGCCTCCTATTAATATGATTTGAAATATATGACTCAAATATTGATAGAATAATGCCAGGAAAATAGAAGAATCTATGCTTAGAGCAGCAAGCTGCCTCCCTATGAACTTCAGTCCTTTAATAAAGACCTACTAAACACATATATGCTTATTTCAGTGGAAATCTTTTGTGGAAATCATGCAAGGAAGCAAATTCCAAATTCAGGTTGACTTGGTGTAGTACAGATATAGCCTGAAGGTTTGACTGAACCAAGAGGCTGGGTGGCCAGGAGCTAAATTCTCCTTACTCTGCCCTATTCCCTTCTCCACTATTGGGGACTGAAGGTGCAAGTAACTAGGGGAGGCTTTGGGACAAGTGAAGAATTGGGAATACTTGTGGATGTTTTAGAAAGGAAAAGAGTAAGTTTGTGGGCATTGGAACCAGAACTTCTAAATTTGAATTCTAAGTCTAGCAGCTCCTAGCTCGAGACCTGGAGAAAACTATTGAAACTATTGAAACTTCTGTTGAACTATTGAACTTTCCTTGGAGGAAACTAATGAAATTTCTCTCATTCCTGAGTTCCCTCAATTGGAAAATGGGGATAATCATACCAACTCCATAGGTTGGTTACAAAAAGAAGCAGCCAATGTAAGACACAGTGTGGTAGTTTCTTAGTAAACTAAGCACACTCTTTAACATATGATCCAACAATTGTTTTCCTTTCTATCAATATTTATCTGAATGAGTTAAAATCATGTCCACACAAAAAACTGCATGTGGGTGTTTATAGCAGTGTTACTCACAATTTCCAAAACTTGGAAGGTACAGAGACATCCCCCAGTATGTGAGTAGATAAAGCATGGCATATCCACATGATGGCACATTATTCACCACTAAAAGGAAATGAGGGGTGGCACCTGTGGCTCAAGGAGTGGGGCACCAGCCCCATATACCAAAGGTGGTGGGTTCAAACATGGCCCTGGCCAAAACCTGCAACAATAACAATTAAAAAAAAAAAAGAAAGAAAGAAAGAAAAGAAAAGAAAAAGAAATGAGCTGTCCAGCCATGGAAAGACATAGAGGTAACTTTGCTGCATGCTACTGAATGAAAGAAGCCGATCGAAAAAGGCTGACTATGTATGGTGCCAACTAAATGACATTCTGGGAAAAATCAAACCACGGAAACAGTGGGAGAATAAGTTGTTGTCAGGGTTGGGGGAAAAGAAAGTGGAATAGGTGGAACAGAGACTTTAAGGACTGTCAAACTATACTGTATAATACTACAATTTGGGATACATGTCATTATACATCTGTCAAAACGCACAGAGTGTACAATACCAAGGGGGTATATGACAATTCTCTGTATTTATTGCCCAGTTTGACTGTAAAGCCAAAACTTCTGTAAAAAGTAAAGTTTATAATTCTTTTTAAAAAGTCCCTCTAGTAGCTAGGCACAGTGTTGTGTCCTATAGTCCCAGCTGCTTCAGAGGCTGAGGTGGGAAGATCTCTTGAGCCTAGAAGTTTAAGGCCAGGCTGTGCAACATAGAGACACTCTGTCTCTGAATAAAAAGTCCCTCCAGTAAAACATAAAGTGATAAAATGTAAAACTGAATGAGATGCAAATCTATTGTGGGCCCCTGACTGTTTTGTAACACAACCAAAAGAATACCCTCTTCCCCCTTGCCAGTAGAGGAAGTGGGTTTATTTAAATAAGCTTGTGTTTATGGAAGGGTCATTTGGAAAAGGAGGAGAAATGAAGGGAAGAGAAAATGATGGTCAGACCTCCTTGGGAGGGGCAGTCACACGGATTTCAATACCTGTAACTATGGAGGGCACCATTCCCACCTCCTCCAGATACAGACAGGGAAGTGGGGAGATGCAGAGGGAAATGCCCAGAACAGGAGGGAGGGGCTGTGAGTTGGACAAGTCAGGTGGCCCTCCTAAACTCAGAGTCTTCACCTCTAAACTGGAAGTAAAAATACTTACATTACATTCTTTCATGACAAAATGTGACAAAACACTTAATGTGCAATGGTGCTGAATAAATAGTACCTATTGTCATACCTGGTGCTTGGCAGGAAATGGGAAGTCACTCAGTGTGTATTGACTAGTTCCTACTGCATGTTGCCTGTCACTGACCTCTGGCTATTCCAGGTGCCATGGTGCTAACTGGCATTTACTTTAGCCTCAGCTGGCACTACTGAAATTCCCTTGCCTCTCCAGGGCCACCCTCTCCCATGTACTT